TCATACGATGAAAGTTTAATTTAGGGTCCCAGACGGCTTATTTAGATAACCCAGTTTGTGTGCACGATAATAAAAATGGACCAATAGTGCCAAATTGGAAACAATCGTCGACTTCATATAATCTCTATAGAGAATTGATAGAGACTTGCTATAGTCGACGACTGTGGCTTAGAAACTATCTCTTTATCACCTCTATATTATCTACGTCATCAGCAACGGAATTTTGGCCGACTGGATCTGGTGCAGTAAGCTAACAGATGCAGGCCTCTGATCGTGAAAATCGGAGGCGCCGACACCTCTCTGACCTCATCAGCAGATGGTAAAGGTTTGCATTTACAAGTACCTAGGCCAAACAGATGCTCTGAATGGCGTCAGAAAAGAAGCAGATCATAAACGACAGAGCTTCCGGACACAAGTAAACTGCACTGCGTCCTCACAGTGACCGAATACACCACCCGATGTCTTGGCAACACGTGGCTACTTGTTAAGCGCATGGCACACAAAATGACCGGAACGTGTGGGTAAACAAACCATTGAGGCTGGGGACAAATGTAAACGAGTATGACATGCTGTTGCATGCAATAGTCCAACAAAAGGTGAAGGTCCGAACTCCCTAGCATTCACCAGTCGCGCTATAAACAACAGTCTCTCTCTCTCTCTATATATATATATATACCTACCTAGATGCATCTAATTTCAAAGTAGTAATCATAACAGCAGTCCGCCAGAAGTAACAATGAAAATCGGTATTCTGACTGTCCTTCTACTTGCCACGGTCTACAGCATCAGGTACGTGTCTCTTTGATGCCACATTCAAACTAACTAATTCTCTCTCTAGAGCGGTGAGTTACTTTGTCATGACAATGCACAGGGTCTGTGTTGACCACCTATAACCGATGTCGAGAGGAGTGACTGAAATAGCTCTTTCTGACTTATTACATATTTACATATTATATACATCGAGAAATAGAAAGTAGAGTCGGATATTGGTGAGGTAGCCTACAAATTAGAAAAATATAGTTGTCGGTCGCCCAAGAGACTGGACAACAGGCCAATCCATTAATCTTGACCCAGCTGCAACTAGGTGTGTGTGCTGTTCTCCTTTTCTACAGGATGAGGAAGCCGGTGCCCATGAGAACAAACCTCAATATCCCGCAATGCTTATGGAACACTGGAAGAAACTGCAGACATTCTTCCAGGAGGACAAACTCGGCATGGAGATGGTGGAAACGAGGCAAAAAATGTGGGAACTCATGTGTAGCAGTAAGATGTCTACAGCGGCCCTCTGTTATTTTTAACATTCTCATTTTAGTTCAACAGCGTATGCGTGAGCAGTTGAAGTTGAATCTGAAGGAACTTCTGAAAGAAGAATAAATACACGGGAGACCCGCAGCTGGAAATCTTTCTCACTTTATTTTGAACTTCAGTCTCCTCCTCCGCCTCCCAGTCAGACAGCGAAGAAAAACAAATTCGCTTGATCTACAAACACCCAAGTCCCCTTGGGCATACTGCCTTTCTAGCGTTCACTGACAGTGTACTGTTGTTAAACCCTGATTAAACTTGCCTAAAATCGCAACA